ATGGTCTTCGTCTAGGTCTTTGTTAAGTGGAGTCGTCAAAGTGGAAATGCAAATGTATTCAGAGTAGGTGATCTCAGTGGCTTCACGCAGTCACAGGTGTCTTTCTTCTTCCCTGCAAGGGCTAGTGGACATTCTTGTCGGAGCAGCTCTCCCGGACGGCTGTCCTCCAAATGATGACTCAGGGACTCGGTGCTTTCTTTCTGTGGCTTCGGTACCTCTGGGGCCATCTAGCCAACAGCTGACGAGAGGTACACACAGACCATTATGTGGAATGATACGTAGGTTATGCCTAGAAGCGGCATACATCCATTCTATCCGAATTCCACGGACCAGAACTCAGTTACGGCCTCGCTCTTAGATGCAAGGGTGGCTGAGAAATTCGGTTTAGCTGTGTGCCCAGCCTAGAGAAGGGCCAGATTGGTGAACGTCAGCCGTCTTGGGCCCAGCAAGGCTACCTATGGTGCAACTGGCAAACTGTTAATGTTCAACGGTCAATTACTCAGCGGCAGCTGAAAGAGAACATATAAAGTGGGGACTGCAGGTGGGGAAGGTAGGATGTATCGTCCTCTTCAGAAAGTGCTGTGTTCCTCATTGGGAATAGGGGAACAAATCAACAGTTGAAACTAAAAAAGCAGCCCTATACCACAAATGCAAGGTCACCCAAGAGTCAGAGAAGACAAAATAGCAGAGGTCTGGGGTGAGAATCACGCTACCGAAGACGTGATAAAATGCCCCTCTGCTCGGAGTCCCCCCCCCCCACCCCCCTCTTGGAGTAGATGCGCTGCTCAGAGCAGCAAGGGTTTGGATTGGATCGACCAGACTGAATTCTCAGGAGATAGAACTCCAGGAAGTTAGCCGGGAGCTCTAGCCAGGTATCACAGACATTATTAGTCAGGCTCTTGTTTTTTCCCTTTGTCTACGTAGGCTAAAAAATGAAGGACGCTTGCTCAAAAAGCTAAACATGGAAGTAAGTACCCTACGATCCAGCCATCCTACTTCTGAGTATACACCCAAAAGAATTAAAAGCAGGGACTCAGATAGATTTGCACAGCCGTGTTCATAGCAGCTTTGTTCACAACAGCCAAAAGGTGGAAACAACCCAAACATCCATCAACAGATGAATGGATAAACGAAATGTGATAAACACAAGCGGTCCCTGGCTGGCTCAGTCAGTGGAGCATGTCGACTCCTGATCTTGGGGTTGTGAGTATTTGAGCCTCACGCTGGGCATAAAGCTTACTTACATAACCAAATAAATAAAAATTTGACATCCACATACAATGGAATACTACTCAGCCTTAAAAAAGAAGGAAATTCTGACACATGCTACAACACGGATGCACCTTGAATGCAGTATACTAAGTAAATAAGCCAGATACGGGGAAAAAAATTTGTATGATTTCACTTCTACGAGGTATCGGGGATAAGCAAATTCATAAAGGTAGAAAGTAGAATAGAGGTGACCAAGGGTAGAGGGTGGTGGTTATTGTTTTATGGGTACAGAGTTTCCGTGTGGGATGATGAAAAAGTTCTGGAAATGGAAAGTGGTGATGGCTGTTGTGAATGCACGTAACGCCACCGAACTGTCCACCTAAAAACGGTTAAAAGGGTAAATTTCATGTTACGTATATTTTACCGCAATAAAAAAATGTTCCCCCCCAAAGTGAAAGGCACAGGCTTTCTATTAGAGACACAAATAACGGCACCAAACGCCAGACACAGGGTCGCCTGGGTGGCTCAGTCAGTTGAGCATCCAACTTCGGCGCGGGTCACGATCTCACGGTTTTTGAGTTTGGCTCTACCTTGGGCTCGCTGCTGTCCACACAGAGCCCACTTCGGATCCTCTGTACCCCTCTCTGTCTGCCCCCCCTGCACTCTCACGCTCCCTCTCTCTCAAAAATAAGGAAATATTAAAAAAGAGAGAGAGACAGAGCCAGATAGAGAAGGATTCCAGTTGGTAAATCAGGATGGGGACGGGGATGGGAAGAATCAAGTAAGACTTCACGGAAGAAACCTCTATCAGCTGGGCCGTGGAGAATTTCAAGCTGGAGATTAGAAGGAAGAGGATAGAGGGCGGATATATTCCAGGCCGTGAGCAAGGGCAGCAGTCAGAGAAGCATGTAGCATACCTAAGAAATTATCAGTTGTTTGTTTACTCATTGCATCTCCTATTTTCCCCTGGTGGGGGCGCTGATACTCCTCCTTGGGGCTGTGTTAGGCAAGAGCTAGTTGCTCAACACTCCCTAGAGTGCATGCACCACCGAAATCTCCCCCGGGGCTTACCTTGAAGAGGCAGAAGCCTCAGCTCCGTGCAGAGGAACGTTTCCACTTGAATCGTACTAAAGAAGTGTACATACTTATGTAATATACAAGGAGAGGGAGTCATTGTGTTCTGAGGAATTTCATGCACAGAATCTGTTTACATATCGTCAGAGGCATGGATGGATAATACTTCCGAGATGGGAAATACAATGTTCTCTCCCCCATGCTTCCTTCTTTGTTTCTCCCTGCTCAAGCAGGTGGAAGAGGGTGTCCAAGGTGCCTCAAGGGAAAGACGCAACAGGGCGGTGCGTGGCTCTGTTTTCTGTGTTGCACTTGAGGTATTTTTGACATATAACACCGGATTCGTTTCAGACACGGGGTTTAGATCCTTGCGAAAGTTAGGCATGGCTCTTTTCTCCGGACCGGACGTTGTTTTGAGCCTCTTTAAAATCAACAAGATAGAAGTTTCTGAACACCAGTGGTCCGCTTCGCTTCTTTGTGCTTGTGGGATTGATTTTCACTTCATTCCCTGCACCAGACCATTCCAGAAGGGAGGTCAAGTAGTGTGTTAGCTGCACAGCTTCAAGCCTTCTGCTGCACACGGACTTCGTCTTCCGACTTGTGAACTGCTCTGCCTCACAAGCTGCTTCAGTTTACCTGATCTGAGGAGTGGACTGACCTCACTCTACAGCCAAGCCCTGGAGGCCCGCCAGCTTGCCTTTTTGAAGGGAGGGAGATCTTCCGACTGTTTTGTTACTTGTCCTGGGGCAGCACTAAAGAGCTGGGGAGACAGCCAAGCTGACCTTCATACCTTATCCAGGGGCAATCTCTCTCTAGGAACTGCATCAAACAAGAAGTGAATATAATTTCTCCAAACAAAGTCCGAAGAGCACGCAACTCTTGATGTCAGGATCATGAGTTCAGATTACTTTAAAAAAAATTTTTAAATTTTTTTAAATAATTTTTTAAATGTTTATTTATTTATTTTCAGAGAGAGTGAGAACTGAGGAGGGGCAGAGGGAGGGGGAAGAGAAAATCCCAAGCAGGCTCCATGCTGTCAGCACAGAGCCAGACACAGGCCTCGAACTCACTAACCGTGAGACGGTGACCTGCGCTGGGATCAAGAGTTGGATGCTTAATCGAGAGAGCCATCCGGGAGCCCCTTAAATAAATTTTTAAAAAATTATCTGTGACCCACTTCAGACCTATTGAATCAGGACTTTGGGAGGCAGAAAAGTGTTTATTTGGTCCGTAAGGGGGTGTGAATGAGAATGCTCATCAAAGAGCTGTTTGCCATGGAAGAATTTGGAAAAACAATGTATCAGCCGTGATACCTTGGATAAGCAAAATGTGTGCAGTCATACTGCACTTAGAAACAAGCAAGGAACGGGATGTACCATAGAGCAAGGTGACAAGGGTAGAAAAACAAAGAGTTGAACAAAAATTGCAAGAGACCTGATGTGGAGCACAGTAACATTTTGTACATTTAAAACGAGTATGGGGGCGCCTGGGTGGCACAGTCGGTTAAGCGTCTGACTTCAGCTCAGGTCACGATCTCGCGGTCCATGAGTTCGAGCCCCGCGTCGGGCTCTGGGCTGATGGCTCAGAGCCTGGAGCCTGTTTCCGATTCTGTGTCTCCCTCTCTCTCTGCCCCTTCCCCGTTCATGCTCTGTCTCTCTCTGTCTCAAAAATAAATAAAAACGTTAAAAAAAAATTTTTTTTTAATAAATAAATAAAAAATAAAATGAGTTTGTTTCGGTGTCGGGCTGCAGGAGAAGATGGCGGTCTCGCCAGGAGTTAAAGTTCCTTGTAATTTTCACTTGTTGGAAGAACTTGAAGAAGGACAGAAAGGAGTAGGCGATGGTATGGTTAGCTGGGGCCTTGAAGATGATGAAGATATGACACTTACAAGGTGGACAGGCATGATTACTGGGCCACCAAGGACAAATTATGAAAACAGAATATATAACCTGAAAGTAGAATGTGGACCTAAATACCCAGAAGTTCCTCCATCAGTTAGATTTGTAACCAAAATTAATATGAATGGAATTAATAATTCCAGTGGCATGGTGGATGCACGGAGCATACCAGTGTTAGCAAAATGGCAAAACTCATATAGCATTAAAGTTGTACTTCAAGAGCTAAGACGTCTAATGATGTCCAAAGAAAATATGAAGCTTCCACAGCCACCAGAAGGACAAACATACAACAATTAATTTTAGTGGATCTCAAACTTGTCTGAAATCAACAGCCTTCTACTCATGTTCATGTCTTGATTAAATATCACAATGCAAAATACCCACACATTAAGTAAAAGAATTCCAGCGGGTAAACATGACCTGGACATTTGTAAGAATATATTTAATATATGTACACCATTAGGTTTTCAGCTTACAGGAGGAAAAACGCAGCACCATTTTTTTTCTCTTGTTAAGGCACTGTCATTTAAGCATAAACCTGGAGTACTCAAAATAGAATTCAGGTTTACAAGATGAAAGCACGGAGAGAAGAGTCAGATGCTGTGGAAGCATGTATGTTTCTGAAAAGTCAAAAAATCTCAAGAAGGAAAAACCGAAATGGCATGCTTTATCCATCTTGCTTAGCGAAAGAGCTTCAAGTTGAAATTGTCTAAAGTGGCAGGTACGACGAATCTTGTCACAAATTGTGTTAATTTTTGAAGCGGTGTGGGTGCTGACTGCGAGAAATATGAAAAATAAGTTCAGGGTTGTTTTGATACCTGTATTTATGATAAAAAAAAATGTTGTGGGGGAGGCCGATGAGTATCTGTTAAAAGCCGTTCCTGTGTGTTACACATAACAGACATGGTAAATATTTGTTTACAGTCTTTGTTTGACACACCATGCATTTAAGTGAAATCAACAAAAAAAGGAATCAGGTGTACGGATATGTGATTTTGAGATTAAAGTTAGTCTTAAAATGTAAATAAAATGTGGAACGTGTCCTCAGGAAAAAAAAATGAGTATGTTTCTAAACACGCTATTCCTTTTCAAATAAAGATCCACGAATAGAGAGGGGAGCAGAGTTGAAGTGGAATGGCAGTGAGGATCAGGGGCAAAGGGGGGAGGGAATTGGTAAATAGTAAGAAGACAGACAGGCAAGCATCAAAGGGAAGAACTTTGCCCAGACAGACATCAAGGTGCTTTGAACTGAGGAACAAGATTCACTCAACTCCAACACGAGGTCCACTAGCTGGCGGGGTGTGGAGAAATCTCTGCAGATGGACCCAGGGAATCTGTTGAAAACGAGACCCCCAGATGAGTCCGCTGCATATACCACTGACGTCTTTAATACCAAAGCATCTTTATGTTTTAGCACTTCCTCGATTTGGTCGCTACTTAACTCTCCAGTCACCCTGGCTTCCGTGTTGCGATCCAGTAATAAAACAAATGTCATGATGTGTCCCACCCATAGATCTTTACACATCCTGTGCCGCCTGTCTGGAACACCCTTTTTCTTTTTCTTTTCTTTCTTTCTTTTTTTTTTAAGTAATCTGTATGCTCAACATGGGGACACAGGGCTAGAAGTCACAGCCCCAGGATCCAGGGTCAGACGCTCTGCCGACTAAAGCAGTCAGGCGCCCCTGGAACACTCTTTTTATCTTTCTTCACCTGGCTAATTCTTATTTATTCCTTTCAACTCAGGCCGGGTGCCATCTCCTCAGGAAAGGCTTTCTTACCCCTCTGGCTGGGTTAAGCTGATCCCCCCGGCGTTGATAGCACTGGGTTACGAGGCCGCTCGTCGTACATTATGCTGAAATCCTTGATTCGTGTGTTTTGAAACCTCTCCAGCCCAAGGACTCGCTCTTACTACCTTTTGGACCTCAGTCCTGGGAATATTGTGCCTGCAATTCAATAGGTGTTCAAATGCAGTAGCGTGTAGCCAGCCCCAGGAATACTATTTCCGTATTCGTTCACTTACACAAGACGTTGTTCAAAAAGGACTTAAGGCAGCCCTTGACAACTAAACTTGAGAGAAAGCGAAGGTGGAATTTCACCGGGACAAGCACCAGCAAGAGCAGCCCTCTGCGGCTACAAGGACCCGTCGCGGCCACCCGTCCGGACAGACCAAGATCCCGGCAGGAGCCCAGCGTTCTGGCTGGGGCTGCTTGGCAAAACATCTCCATCCCTGCCTGCGACTGCCCTCTCCAGGGGACTGCTTGCTTTTCACCCAGCTGCAGGACTCCAGCTGCCAGTAGAAAAGTCAGTCACAGTTCTGGATTAACATCACCTTCATCACTCAGGGAAAGAGAGCCCGTCCTTCCCCCTGGTCCTTTAGGGCTCGGAGAGAGACGTCGCACAGCCCTGTGCGTTTCGGTCAGGTACTGAGTCTATAGCCTCACAAGAAAACTCCAAAATAGAGGCTGCCTTTACAAAATCGGGGAGTCACATGACGGATTGATGCAGAAAATCGGAAAGTTCATTAAAGGATTCACAAACCCTCCACGGAGAAAACATTTGCAGTTGTAGTCAGCCTCCCCTCCCACAGAAAGGAAAATAAATGTTTTGTTTAAATCAATGTTACGAAAGAGTTACAAAAAAAAAAAAAAAAAAAAGCTGAAACGCTGAGTCTAAAATGAATTGCTTTCTTATTTCCAGCATATTTTTTAGTCTTATATCATGACGTTCCTAAAAGAATCATCACAAAGTATAGGTTATTTTTTTTTTAACAGACAAAATTATACTTGCTTAATGATAGGAAAACATGGTTCGGTAAAATCTAAATTCAATTGGCTAAAACAACCTTTCCTGTAATCTGTAAGGTACTGTCTCAGAACGAATCAAATAATCAAGGGGAAAAAAATAGTCAAGGGACAAAATTGGAATACTCACTAAAGCAGGGTTTCTCAGCCTCAACACTAGGGACATTTGGGGTGGGAACGTTCTTCCTAGCGGGGTGTGAGGGGCTGTTCCCTGTATTGTAGGCTGTTTAGCGGCATCCCTGGCCTCTGCCCACCAAATGTCCACCCACCCTGTCATTGACAATCAAAATAGCCTCCGGGTGAGGGAGGGAAGCAGAATCACCACCCCCCCCCCCATCCAGAACCACTGCACTGTGGGAGACACAAAGCCATTCACAGGTAAGTTACAGAGAAGAGTCTGTTAATTAGAACCTGACACAGAATACACAAGCCTTCCCCCCCCCCCCCCCGGGGCCAAACCCCAAGGATTACACTTCTTTAATTCAAAGGTGTCAAACTTGCCAATACTATATTTGGGAGCGGATCCTTTTCTTAATCCGCTTTGGCATTTCAAATCTTGGCATTTCAAACTCTAGCCAAGATCTATCTGATAGAAGAGGTCAACAAAGGAGCCATGTCGACTTCGGTGAACAGGCTTAACCATTCTTGATAAGAACTAATTAGAAATGTATAATGTAGCACCTGTTTATTAAGGGCTTGCAAAAGATGTCCCCGCAAAAGATGTCCCTGTCCTAATCCGCAGAAGCTGCAAAGCAAAAGGAACTTTGCAGATGTGATTACGTTAAGGATCTTGAGGTGGAAGGGTGTCTGACGGGCTCAGTCAGGAGAGCAGGCCACCCCTGATCTCAAGGTAGTAAATTCAAGCCCCACGGTGGGTGTAGAGATTACTTAAAAAAAAAAAAAAAAATACAGTCTTGGGGCGCCTGGGTGGCTCAGTCAGTCAAGCGTCCGCTTTAGCTCAGGTCATGATCTTGCAGTTTGTGGGTTCGAGCCCGGCGTTAGGCTCTGTCCCGACAGCTTGTAGGCTGCTTCGGATTCTCTGTCTCCCTCTCTCTGCCCCTCCCCCCCCATGCTCTGTCTCTCTCTCAAACATAGAGATTAAAAATTGTTTTTGTTTTTTTTTTAATTTTTTTTTCAACATTTATTTATTTTTCAGACAGAGAGAGACAGAGCATGAACGGGGGAGGGGCAGAGAGAGAGGGAGACACAGAATCGGAAACAGGCTCCAGGCTCTGAGCCATCAGCCCAGAGCCTGACGCGGGGCTCGAACTCACGGACCGCGAGATCGTGACCTGGCTGAAGTCGGACGCTCAACCGACTGCGCCACCCAGGCGCCCCTAAAAATTGTTTTTAAATAAAGAATCAAAAATTAAAAAATAAATAAAGTCTTTGCAGGAAAAAAATCTTGAGATGGAGAGATTATCCTGCACTATCCAGGCAGGCTCAAGGTAATGTAAGGGTCCTTGTAAGGGAAAGAGGGAGGAGGTCCCTATAAGGGAAAGGGAAGTCATGCGATGCCAGAAAACAGAGAGGATTGCTGGCTTTGAAGACAGAAGAAGTGGCCAGGAGCCAAGGAATGCAGGCAACCTCTAGAAACTGAAAAGGCAAGGAATAGATTCTCTCCTAAAGCCTCCAAAAGGAATGAGACCCTGACCTCCAGACCTGCAAGAAATAAACATATATTTAAGCCACTAAACGTGTGCTCATTTATTACAGCAGCAAAGAAAACTGACGTGGTGAAAATCCAGCAGGAATATTATGACCTGGGAAGCCAGGAGAGGAAGGCCACTTCGTAGTTTCAATAAGCATAATTTTTTGCCTTTCTTTTTTAAAATTAGAGAGCGCGTACGCAAGGGCAGGGAGGCGGCGCACAGGGGGGGGGGAGAGAGAGAGAGAAAATCGTAAGCAGACTCTGCACTCAGCACGGAGCCTAATGTGGGGCTCAGTCCCACAATCCAGGGATCGTGACCTGAGCCAAAATCATGAGTCAGACACTCACCCAGGGGCCCCAAGAATAATGAATATTTTAAACCATAATTGAAGATCTCAGACAACACAACAATGCATTATCTCTCCCTAATTATAGCCAGGAAGTAGACGGCTCTTAGATGTTAGACACCCATCTAAGTGTATTAAGATGAATTAATTCATTTAATCATCATAACAACACTGTGATGAAAATGTTTTTATGATTTCCATTTTTCAAATAAGAAAACCAAGATCCGGACAGGTTACGTCTCGAGCTCACAAAGCTACGAAATGGCAGCACCGGGCTTCAAATCCAGGCATACCGGCTCCAAAATCCAGATAAATGTGGCCCAGAGTGTTACAGGAGGGTGGCGGAGACACGGGTCCCTGTCTCACCGAGTCGAAGAATGAATCTCGCACACGACAGCGAGTGAGCAACGCGATAGAGTTCGAGGGAAAGGGTCAAGTTTTCCAGAGTGAGAGGGGACCCGAGTGGGTGGCCACAGACAGTTTCTGCCCGGGGCTTTTTCTTGGGACCTGATCAGGGCAGCCCCCTG